TTTATTTAAAAATATCAATTTTTAACCTTTTAATTATAAATACATTTGTTATATTAATATCACTATCTAATTAATTTTTAAATAAATATATTAAAAATTAATATATTTAAATATAAAAAATTAAAAATTATCATTTATTTTTATTATTTATTTATTCAGTTTTTTTATTTTGGTCCTGCTAGGCTGGAACATTAAAGAAAAGGCACATAAGAACTGACATGCTCTTCCGCGTCTCGACAAGTTGGCATGTCATCTCTTTTTGAAAATAGACAATGAGTCATTTCTTAATTAAACTATAGGTTTATTAATTAATAATAATCGTACTATAAATCTTTAAATAAAGACTTTGGGAGTACCATTGACATTGACCTAGAAGACCCCACTAATTTTGATCCTTGAATCGATACTTGGATGATGCTAAGTAACTTCCTAGATTTTGCACTGCACTTTCCATCTTTGTTCTAAGAAAGAATGAATGAAATTACAAGGAAAATTCTGCCCAACTCTCCTCTTTCCTCTTTGTTTTACACCTTTTCAAGTCAAATTTTCAGAGGAATTACAAATAAACTGGAGGTTTCGTAGCAAGTTTCAACTGACACATCAATCAATGAATAAATGTATAATTGTCGATCCAGCTTAATTAATATATAACTTAAGTTCTCATATTTAGATTTGAAATCTCAAACTCATGAAATATCAATTTAGGCAGACTAACTACTAACACAGAAACAAGTTTTTAGACTTCATCTCAAGATTCATGCGTTAATTATTTTTGAGCATATATACTAAATTTAGTAAATTAAGAATGAATTGTACTAAATTCTCAAATAATCATCTGTATATGTGTATACAATAAGATGCACATAATTAATTTCCATTTTTTTGAAATAAGAAATTGAAATAAGAATCATATTTCCTCCAACAAATTCCTCATACATGACAAGACAACATCTTCTTTCCTTTTGAGAAAGAGAAAAAAAAAAAATCAAAAGCCCAGACAAAGCTAAAAGCAAGAAAAACTCATCAAAAATTAACCAAATTAATCAAGACCAGAAAATTCACCAGAATCAGCAGAACCAAGCTGCAGCATCCCTGCTTTGGAGCCATGGAACCGAGTGGGATGTCCTTCTTCTTCTTTGCAAGAACCATAGAACCATTCCCATCGACTACTACTTTTGCCCCCACCATGATCTTATGCCTCTTAGTCCTCCAAAACATGATCTTGAACCTCACGGCGGTCACCAAATCTATCCGGAAAAAGGCCGTCCCGTTAGTGAAAATTCCCTGGTTAACCACCGTCATGTTGTAGTCCACATGACCCGGTTTCTTAGCCGTCTTTTTATGCCCCTGGTAAAAGCGCTGGATCGTAGTGTCCCCGAGGAGTTGGGACGACTGGGACCCGTTTCCCACGGTGTCGAACACGGTGACGTTGACCTTCACGTCGTCGTAGTTAATACCCTTGTCCTTATTGGGGTTTGCCAGCTTCAGATTGAAGTACAACGTGGAATTGGTAGTGGAGTTCAGGGTTCTGTTGAGCGCCGGCAGGTAGAAGTAGTCGACGGAGCATTTGGGGTTATCAGCTCGGAGGCTCAGCCACATGAAGAGAGCGCTCAGGCCTGAGGTGAAGATGAAGCTGCAGCAGCACTTGCAACACCCTGGCTTCTCACCCATACTGTTTCCCGATCGACGAGTATCAACTTGGGTTCTGTTCTCCGGTGAGGTTCCTAGTAAGGGAGATGCTTATGATGGCTATTTCATTTATGGGTTGAAGCATTTTAAAAGGACTTAATGCTATTTTTTTTGGGTGGAGACATGATAAGGTTACCCTGGATTTTTCACTTTATTGATCACAATGTGCAATGAAGATTTGACGGTGAGATTTAGGTGATTGTGTTCTCGCTGTGAGTTTAGTATATAGCCTTTTCAATTATGGTTATGGGATCAAGAATTGGGCCAGAAAGTGAAACCCAATAGTTGCAGGGTACAGTCTTATTAATTTGGACCGCACCCTGCAGGATAGTGCCATACTGCCATGTGGGGGAGTTGGGAACCA